AAAATCAACTCTTAAACCTACTTCACCAAAATCAACTCTTAAACCTACTTCACCAAAATTAACTCTTAAACCTACTTTACCAAAATCAACTCTTAAACCTGCTGTTACTTTACCAAAATCAACTCTTAAATTTACTTTACCAAAATCAACTCTTAAACCTACTTTACCAAAATCAACTCTTAAACCTACTTTACCAAAATCAACTCTTAAACCTGCTGTTACGTTACAAAAATCAACTCTTAAACCTACTTTACCAAAATCAACTCTTAAACCTGCTGTTACTTTACCAAAATCAACTCTTAAATTTACTTTACCAAAATCAACTCTTAAACCTACGTTACCAAAATCAACTCTTAAATGTGCTTTACCAAAATCAACTCTTAAATTTACTTTACCAAAATCAACTCTTAAACCTACGTTACCAAAATCAATTCTTAAATTTACTTTACCAAAATCAACTCTTAAACCTACTTTACCAAAATCAACTCTTAAACCTGCTGTTACCTTACCAAAATCAACTCTTAAATTTACTTTACCAAAATCAACTCTTAAATTTACTTTACCAAAATCAATTCTTAAATTTACTTTACCAAAATCAACTCTTAAATGTGCTTTACCAAAATCAACTCTTAAACCTGCTGTTACCTTACCAAAATCAACTCTTAAACCTACTTCACCAAAATCAACTCTTAAATTTACTTCACCAAAATTAACTCTTAAACCTACTTTACCAAAATCAACTCTTAAATTTACTTCACCAAAATCAATTCTTAAATTTACTTTACCAAAATCAATTCTTAAATTTACTTTACCAAAATCAACTCTTAAATTTACTTTACCAAAATCAACTCTTAAATTTACTTCACCAAAATCAACTCTTAAATTTACTTTACCAAAATCAACTCTTAAATTTACTTTACCAAAATCAACTCTTAAACCTACTTTACCAAAATCAACTCTTAAATTTACTTCACCAAAATTAACTCTTAAACCTACTTTACCAAAATCAACTCTTAAATTTACTTCACCAAAATCAACTCTTAAATTTACTTTACCAAAATCAACTCTTAAATTTACTTTACCAAAATCAATTCTTAAATTTGCTTTACCAAAATCAACTTTACAAATGAATCAAAAGACATATAAATTGATTCAAAATATTGAAAAAGTCATTAAAAAAAAACTGTTGCCTATATTCAGGTGATAAATAATTGGACGGAACAATAAATGAACATTATAATTCATATAGCACAAAATAAACTTAACCTTATTTTGTAAAAATAAATTCATTCCCATAAAAGTATATTGGTTATATTTTAAAAATCAAATCTTGAATGATATATAAATGGCAAAAAACGGACGGTTAAATCCAGCAATTGATAAAAACCTAATTTGTTAAAAATCATTCTTATGAATGTGAGCTACCAAAGGCACACAAATTATATATACTAACACAGCACTGGATAAAAAAAAAAACCTTTCAAAATAATGATACAGTAGTTAAAATTATTGAACAATTAAAACAAAAATTCATTAAATTTTTTTTAACTAATTCTATAACAATAACATTATCAAATTTATAATACTGATCCTAAGCAAAGCTCCAAATGAGCGTGGTTTTTGTTAAAATTGTTAAAAATTGGAAGTTTGTATTGCTTAAACTATTATCTATAACTTCTGATATTCACTGTTAAACATGACCTTGGGTCATAAAGTGTAAAAAAGTGTGCCCTCTATATAAAAAACAATGCAAAATTTTGATTATCAATATACCTTTATGGATCTAACTGAACATTAAATATATTCAAGACAACTTTTAAACCCTTACAAATGTTTTTAGAAAGCACACTTTCTTGATTTTTAATATATTTTCAAAGAATTCCCAGTAAAAATTATAAATAACAAAATTGCTATTGAAAATTGATATTTTGATATCAAAAGTAGAACCTTTGTCCTAGACCCAAGATAAAGAACATCTTTCAACAGTAATTAAAATAACAATGTAATTACTTTAAAAAATAATTAATTTTGAAGTTAATAATGGTCAATAGCCAAGAATGGAGAGTTTTTATCAATCCAGCTTATTAAACCTCCATAATCAAAGAGTTCGGAATAGCCTAAAGGAAAATAATTACCAGTAGACTAAATGTTAATATCACACTTCGCTTGGCACGAAAGGTTCATTTCTTGACAGTTGATCTTAAATAAAAATATATTCAATAATTTCCAGAAAACATATACAGTTTCCAAGATGAACCATATTGTGTTTAAAATAAGTATTCAAGCAAATTTACCCGAATTTTTTTAAAATGTAAGTAACACTGCTTTCAAAATCAATAATACTAAATAATACAATGTAAAAATACAGCAATGCAAAAATACGATCTTAAAATATTGTTGAATAACAGATAAAAAGTGTTTTAAAATCGATGAAAATATATAAAAAGATAATTTGCAAAATAACTGTTGTAGAATTGATAATTTTAAAAGGTATACCACAAAACTGCTGTTCTAAAATTGATAATTTCACAAAAATAATGTTGTCATAGTGATAATTTAAAAAGATATATCACAAATTATTTTCAAAAGATATAAATGAACCACAAAACAGTTCTCAAATTGAAACTTTTAAAAATATTTCACAAAAATACTGTTGTTAAACCAATAACCTTATAAAGAGATTTCACAAATTAATGATTTTTAAAAGATTATAAGAAAAAAAATAAACAATATACTAAGACGCCTCCAGCAGAAATTATGACCATAGATAAACGGTCATCAACCTACAATCTTAACTAAAAACAAGACTTATAACATTTACTCAATGAAGTGAAAACTCATACCTAGGTCATTAACAATAACAATAAGTTACTTAAGGACATCTATTTCTGTCAAGCTATTAGGAATTTTGTACTTATACCTTAACATCAATAGTCATCTTTCTTGTATTATGGAAGTTTGTAAATGGAGTGAATACAGCCAATCATAGCCTTCCATAGGAAGTATGTGAACACAATGCCATAATGTTTATAGCCTTTCTGTAAAGGGTTCTGATTTTCTATGTAAAATCCAATCAAATCGTTGAATTCTGTGATACCAGAAAAGTTTACATCACAGTCAAGGTATAAATATGAAGTTTGTAATAGAATAATGTATATATGTATGTATAGAATAATACTGTTGATATAATACTGGACAACTGGTCATACCTCTTTAAGATGTGTAAGTTCATTTCTGAAATTGCTTTCAGAGGAACAACTTCTGGATGACATTGGTATGACATGGACACTAAATTAATTTGTCAAAATGAAAGTGGAAAAATATATACCAGTTTGACAAATTTATATAAGGACCCGTGAATGTCACAGCCTAGTAATTTGATCCTTGCTATAGGCTAATTAAATGGTAAAACAGCAATGACACAAATTTTAACACAATTGCTTATTTAGAAAACCACCAATTCTTAAACTACACACATGAAAGTACTCTTCCATTTGCATTCTTGATGCAATTTAAGATTTGAGCCGATTATATGAAACCTAAAATGCTTTATAATATGAGTGTTGTTTTTAAACAGAGTCATAAATCCTGTTTTCCACCCTCTGAGGTACCTGTTTCTTCACCCAAAACCTCTAGACCTAATAGACATGATCATTTAGTAATGGGTGGTAAAAATTGTCCAGTTTCTTCTAGCCCACTATCTTGATGAGTTAAATTAGTTTTTTCTGATATTAAAGATGGCTTGTCTGAAATATCTGTCTTTTCATCAATAACATCCATGTCTTGTTTCTTTAGACTTTTAGAACTACTTTTAGTACTGGGAACTGCAAGACAAATAAAAAAACTAAATACATGAGGCCATTACATCTTTAAATTCAAATATCAAGAGTAATAATTTGTAAAATCCAAAATTTAGTTCATCACACTCAGAAACATAATCTAAATCCACTTGATGAATATTCTCATAAATATGAATATTTCACTTCATTTTAAGGTAATTCAAGTAGTAAAGGAAACTATATAAGTTTTATGATTCAACTACAATTTATCATACCCCAAAATAAAGTCAACTACTCTTGTTTATGTGTATTTGTGATTTGCCTATAATATTGTGGAAACTGAGCTCTGAGATCAATATATATAATTATACCAGATATTCATGGAAAAATAAATCCCAACCCTACTCTCAGTCATATTCATTCTGGGTCGCTCGATTGGTCAGTTCTGCATGTTCCAGATTTACGGAATCAGCAGAATAAATCAGTTCAATAAAACAAGATTGAAAAATTTTGAATGTGACAAATCAGTTTTCATACCATTTCACTGAGGGAAGAATAGGATCAGATGGAACCTGTTTAAAACTCTCCAATCGAGCACCACCACAAGAATATCATAGGAATATCACTACCATGACAATAAATAGAAAATGGCAAATATAAGATACTAAGATGATACTCAAACATTATGAGTTGTAAAACATGAAAATTTGTTTATTACCTCGATTGCTTAGTTCTTCTTGACTTTGATCGGCTGAGGCCCCTTGAGGGGGGACTCTCTCTTTATTACTAGTACTTATCTTGGCACTTTTCTTCTCTTTATAACTTATTCTCCAGTCTTCAGATTTAGTCTTCTCTACAATACATTGAAGGTATAATTCTTAACTTTCATAATACCTGAAGCTTAAGTTTATATTCACAGAATATGCTTCAATATCTTACTACCTAATATGGTCTCTTGAATGTACTAAATTTCTCCATTCTTTGGAATCCTTCAGATTTATCATTCTACCTGAGTTTTGGAATGATTAAAACATGAAACAATGGAGCCCTAATTTTGGTCAGTGTGGACTTGGATTGGTCACATTCCTGATTATTCCCATCACACCATAGCCAATAACAGGGATTACCATTACCTGGCCAGAGATGTACCCTGAATTATAGGTTGTCCTGGAAAATACCTTGCATCATTAACTCAATAAGTAGGGTCCAGATCAGTAGGATTTATTCAAAGACAAAGGGACATTGGGTGAAATTTGTCTCTATTAAAAGCAAACCTTTAGTTGGTGGTTGAGCAGGGTTTTTATAAGGATCTTGTGTTGTTGTGGGTGTAGAATACCGTTTGGTATGAGATTTTGATTTATCTTTTTTAGGAACTAAACCTTCTTTAATCCAATCATGTTGTAAAGCTTCATCTGGTGTCATTCTTAATGCTGGATCCCATCTGAAACACAAATTCAACATCATACTCATGATATTTGATGGTATATTGGGAGACAATGGAATGCATGTGGTTACAAAAATCCAATTACTCATGTTGGTATATCATATTTTAGGGTTTTGAATGCATGTGCTTACAAAAAATCCAATTACTCATATTGGTATATTATATTTTAGGGTTTTGAATGCAAAACTTACTCTTATTGGTATGGTATATTAGTGGGTGTATTGAAATGCATGTGCTTTCAAAATTTAACTGATAACTGGAGTTATGCAGGGTTCAAGACATTGAGTAGCCCCATTGGTATTCAGTAATATTAACCAAGTCATATTGTTTATTTTCACTTACTGACACCTATTAATCATGGTTATAGACTACAGAGATGTTATCACATGTGAAAGGCAATTCACAACTTCATTATGTTATGGTTCACCTGGCTATCAATTATTTACAAAACATTGTTTCTAGTCAATTAATTGATCAAATTGATTATAATTGCCAAGCCTACTTTTGGAAAACAGCTGCTGTGTGTGAGATATGTATCTCTTCAAGGGCAAATTCATATGGCCAGGTAATAGAAATATGTGCAGTAAGTACAAAATTGCCTTGGAGAATCTTGATTTGCTGTATTAGCTGGCGTACAATCCAACTAATCGCTGCATTTACAAACTGCTCTGATCCAAGAAGTCAAGGTATTAGACACAGTAATAGCTAGAAATTGTGAAGATGCCCCTCTCCCTTGATCAAAAACTCACTCTAAACATTTCTTAATAAAATCAAGAAAAGTGACATCACTTGTTTTAATAGCTTGATGTAATTCTCGAGAACCAACTCGGCGTTTTTTGCCTTTACTGTTAGTTATACATCTTGGATTGCCTTTAGAGTCTAAAAATAAAAATAAATTGACGAAAATGAAATACATTTTACAGTCTTCTGAATTAACGTAAATTTCATGCCAGTCTAATTTGACAAATGTGAAAGAGAGCTGTCGTTAGACCTTAACTGAAATGGCTATAATAAAAATAAAAGCTAAGAAAAAAATGGAACGAATGTTTGGTCTAATTTATTTAGACTGCTTTCATGCTTGCTTCACGAAAAATCACTAAATGGACAAAATGTATAATTGCTAGAAGTCTTCTTAATCTTACCGAAAAACAGGCGTCTACGTGTTGCAGCATCTAGAATATTTTGTGGAGGTGGATTGAGAACTTCCATAATACATGCTAACTGTTCTACTTCATTTTCACCAGGAAAGAGAGGATAACCTGTAAATAATTAAAAAGTTCATCAATATCATATTACCAAATCATGCTTGAGCATTTAATCATCATGTTTTTGATAGTACATAGATGAATTTTTATAATGATGTCTTTTAATTACAAAAGACGTGATTTATCACCACTTACACTTATAGCTATGGAAATGACCTAAAACAAGCAACCTTTTGCTATAGCTCCAGATCAGATTAAACAACAAACTATTTTTAATTAAATGTTCACTATGAACTGTTTGTAATATTCTTTGTTGGTTTTTTATCCAAATATTAATCATGAATGACAACCAAAAGTCTTCTATTAAAGTAAGGGAGATAACTATTATTCATACCATGAAAGAGAGTTATGTATCCCACTTATTTGCTCCAAATATACAATGCTATGCAATGTGAAATGAGGCAAATGAAGGACATTACTTTAATATCTTTTGCTTTCCAACAGTTGAAGAATCTATAAAGCAAACAGTCTGTAGCACTTCACTGCTTTATTATATACCTACCCGAGTAAAGTTCTGCTAAAATACACCCAAAACTCCACATATCAATAGGCATAGAATAGGGTAAGCCTAAGATAACTTCTGGTGAACGATAGAATCGTGACTGTATATAAGTATACACTGTAAAAAAATATCATTTTTTACTGATAAAGTTAATGAAAACAGGCTCTGATATCAGCAAAGAGAATTTCCTCCCGTCTTAAAGCTTTATATTTCTGATCAATAGATATTAGTTTTGAGAAAATAAATCACCATTAAAATAGCTGATAATATACATACATGACACTATTAACAAAAAACCCTGACAATTTCAATCAGGGCTGTTGATTGATCTGTATTTGCCAGTCATGTCTGATTAGACTTCCAGAATGACTTGAGTACAATATTCATCTTAGACTTCAAAATAAAACAAGTAATTCTTTTTTCCTTACCTCGTTGATGTTCATAACAACTAGAACCAAAATCAATAACTTTAATTGAACTTTGACCTCTCTGTCGTAACAAAATATTTTCCTGCAAAAATGGTCATGTAATCAGTCATGAAAATAGTTTAATAAATGTTTATGATAGTAGGTATCAAAAGAAAGCCTGCAGATGATTAAAATAACATGATAGTGGGTGATCAAACACCACAATTTAGAGGACCAAAAGATGTCTGCAGAAATTCAGAGTATTTGATACAGAAGCATAGGAAAAATATAATAGCTACAAAAATGATCAAATTTGAAGAAGTTGCATCCTAAATTATTTGGTACATTATCAAAATTAAAAAACTTACTGGTTTTAAATCACAATGAATGATTTTCTCTCTGTATAAAACTTTTAAACATTGTAACAAAGAGAATGCAAAACGTCTAATCAATGCAATACTAAAACCCTGGAAATTATTCTTCTTAATCAACTCATATAAATTCATTCTGAAAGTACAAAAAATGGAATTTGAATAATAATAAATTCTACAGAAATTCAAGCCTGGATTTGTGTTTTCAATCCTATATTTGTGTTGTCAATCCTGGATTTGTGTTGTCAATCCTGTATTTGTGTTGTCAATCCTGGATTTGTGTTTTCAATCCTGTATCAGTGTTGTCAAGCCTGTATTTGTGTTGTCAAACCTGTATTTGTGTTGTCAAACCTGTATTTGTATTTTCAATCCTGGATTTGTGTTTTCAATCCTGTATCAGTGTTGTCAAGCCTGTATTTGTGTTGTCAAACCTGTATTTGTGTTGTCAAACCTGTATTTGTATTTTCAATCCTGGATTTGTGTTTTCAATGTAGTGGGATCTTTAACATGCACAGCTTGTAGCACACAGGGTGTTTTCTTGGGAGCTTTTTAAAGACAGTAGAAGATAATTAATCCATGACATCCTCTCTTTAACAAGCCTGTAGCACATATAAATTACCATAACCTTTAACAGTATTAATCAAATCTGTAAATCGAAATAATTGTGAACAAACCTCACCCCATTAATTCAAAGACGATACATAAATGATTTCTAAAGTAGAAATATTCAAACATATGTATAATATTATACTGATTGTCTTTATCTTTTCTTCTTAAAGCATCTAATATCTTTACTTCTACCAGAGCTTGATGGTGAAACCTACAAAATAGATCAACAGCAGTCCAGAATAATTTTACATCAATGAACATAGGGTTGGAACATTTACTGGTATAATCTATATCTTTATTTTACATAAATAATCCAAGTACTAACAATCGAACTACAAAACCAAACCCAAAATCCAAAACAACATATTGACAAACACATGTACCATTTAATGAACTTTTTCACATGTGGAAGTATATCAATCATAAGTAAGGAAGTATTTCATAATCAAAAGAGGTATCGTGTTTAAAAGAGTAAGCATAACCTGCCTGGCGCCACACACATCATTGCTGATATTATCATTATATACAAGACCATATTGTGACATATGATACATAATTACCCTTATATCCTTGAAAGAGCTAAAGATCTTAATTCATGATCCTCATGAAAATAAGTTGCTATCTTTGTCAAAAAAAGATATTTTCATATAAAATCAAGTTTGAAGAAATTGCAATGGAAAATCTTAACAAATATTTATTAATAACTAAATCTTGTTTTGAAAATCAGATCAAGGTTAAACTTACCTCTTTTTATTCCTAATGATCTTGATAGCTAACATCTTATCTGTTTTATGATCAAAACATTTGACAACTTGACCAAACGATCCTTTTCCCAACACTTCCAATATTTCATATCTATATACAAGATGATCATGCATTCCCTGAAAAACAACATCCAAATTTTGATCAATAAGTTTCAACAATCAACTTCATAGTCACATACCTTCAAAAACATTGATCCACTAAAATGACAAAACAGTTAACATGCAAGTACATTACCAAATATGTAGATTAAGAATAGCTTATCACTTGAACAAAAACTCTTCTTAGAGAAGGTTATATATTTCAATTTTAAATGTAGGAAAATATAAAAGCAACAATGGGTCTTATTCTTGAAAACTTTTAGTGACTTTAAGAATTCCAGTCATCTGATAAGTCAATCACTAAAATCGTTTAGTTTGTTGCCCAATGGATTAATGTATTTCTGAAAATTTGGATTTTATCTTATTCTAGTTTTTGAGACCAAGGTTTTAAAGTTCAATCCTTACCTTAAGATATGAGCCATTTTCATCATCATAACCACTATTTTGAGCACTACCATTAACAGCTTCTATCTTATTAGCTTCTAAACCCAGAAACCAAATTTCAGGAAAATCTAAAATTTCTCCCTGCTCATAACTTGTTAGCTTTCCTCTATATAACTTTAATGCTTCTACAAGACAAATTTAAATATATTTAGTCATACATATGAGCTAGCATACTGTTGATGGAACTTTAAGCTCTGGGCTATCCTTTATAATCTATATTCAAAATCTGAAATATTAAACTATCTACCATGATCAGAAACACATAACATCAGCATAAGACAAGCTCAAGATGGGCTGATGTGACAACAGCATAAAATGAGCTTGTAATAATTCTACATACCTGATGGTGTTAATGGTAGTCTGTTACCATAGCTATCACGTTTGGTTCTATCAGATAATGTGACGTCTGATGATTTTAAATGTGGTAAAGTATTAGAGTCTAAGGAACTATCATGATGAGGTCTTTGATGAGATTGACGTGGTTCATTGGTATTAAGATGAGGTAAAGTGGTTGGTGCCACAGTTGCCACCAGTTTCTATGAAACGAAGCAAAATATAAAACACATATAAAACATAAAGCAAAAGAAAAGATATAATGAAACTTGGATCTTAAATGACGACCAGTATCTAGCTTACAAACACCCATGTTGCCATCAAGTTTTGCAACTATAATAAACTTCCATAAATAAGTGACACCTCTAATGGTCGAATTTCAAATTCCTTTTCTGTAATTCCAGAAAAAAATGGTGCAAACAGAGAACAATAGACCAGAGGACCTTTGAATCTATTAAGTCTTGCAATCTAGTATATCAAACTGATTTCAAAGTAATTTTAATGAAAAGATGGCCTACCTCTGAATAATTCTTTGTTTTATGAGAGGAAGAGGCACTATTTTCACCTTTACTACTGGCTAGATTGATTTGATTAGCATATCTAGTTTCACCTTTACCACGATGTGACCGGTGCAGATTGCCATGTTGAGGGCTCTGAAAAATATATATTAAACAAGGGTTTAGTTATTTGTGACGTAGATCACAATTCTTATTTATCTATTTTGTGACATGAACAAAAGGTGCATTCAGTGTCAAATGCTTCTTGGAAAATTACTTTGGTTTGAGTCACAAAATTCTAGTGGTATTAAACTGATGAATGTTCAAGCAGCCCGTCTTTAGACCCTAACTGACTAAATTTGAATAAAAGTTTATAAAAAAACAGAATTAAAGTTTTGTCTAAATCTAATATAGTTAAAATGTCTTCTTTATGTTGTGGATTCAAATCCCCCATGACGTAAGAGAATTTTAGATTTCCTGTTACAGGATATGCTTATCGGGACAGCGTCTACTTTAAAAAATGTCACTTTACCCAACATAGAAGTAAGTTTATAATGTATTTCTATATAACTAGGTTATACCAGGATTTATAAATAATTAACAGAGATAAATCAATTGCCTATATATTAATTAATTAACTATCTTTTACCCTTGATAAACTCACTATCAGTGTCAAATGTCAAATACTGACCAAATATTTTTTCACTCCATTGAAGTATGAAAGAAAGAAATCACCTATTTTGTACAAGGATAAAAGTTTAGGATCACAAGGATTGTTTCTACCAGTTTGTCCTTGCCCAAACCTCTTGGCTTGATCTTTCCCAGATTATCATGGTGGGTCAAAAGGAATAGTGGGGAGAGATAACGTATTCAAGGTCGCCAGATTTTCAAAAGTCAACCAAGATAAGAACCCATGGTCACCATTTGTTCAACATAACTAAATAAATGGCATCATTCCAACACTGTGTGCCACTGTGATACATACACAATGGTTTAATAATTCTATCTTGAAAACAACACATTTAGAAACAAGACAGTTGGGGAGATACAACGCCTGCGGTGTATAGGATCCATTTTTATTCATCAAAGAACCATTATTATTATTTTCACTTGATCACAACAAACATACATTTTTTAGTCTACTAAAAGCCTGACTTTAACACTAGAAAGTTATTATTATTATTTATTTTTACTCAGTGAGGTATGTAGTAAACACATGCACTTGTTTGTCATTCTGTTAAAAGAATAAAGGTCAATAAACAAACCAAGTCACAATTTATTGAATTTTTTCATCTGTACATAGTATTGCAACACATTCAATTACCAGAATTTTTATCAATTATTTTGAAGTCACTAATGGAGTTTTAATTATCAGTAAACTTTAAATTAAAGGAATACTACCTCTAAGAATGAACAAATAAAACTAAAGTTTCAAACTTGGTTAACAAGTGTATATATTCATCAGTTGGACTTACCAGGTGTCATGACTAAAGAATAGAATCTCTATACAGTATATCCCTAAGCATGTTTCAAAATCATTTAGTTTACTTTTTTATTACTTAGTTTATGGATTTATTGGAGACCACTGATGAACTAAGATTCATTTTGGCAAAGTCTAAAATTTCAATTTTGTGGTCTTCCTAAGATAGTATACCTTTAAACTACCAAATCATAATAAATAAGATCCATGGAATAAAAAATTGTTAATAAATCAACTTTATAAAAGTTAAAATGGTCATAAATAAAGATCCTCTGTTCACAATTCATGGTATCAAAGCGAATTTGAAATATCAATAACCTTATCATCTGTATAGTTTTTCATATTCCTTCTTGAATATTAAAAATTATCATTAAAACACACAAATATGAGTTAACTTACATGTGGATGTCTCATTTTTCCAAATTTAGATCATATTCCCTACACAGACAGCCTGACAACTAAACCCAACATTAACAAGACTTGGTACACAGATTAACATGAGAGAGATTAAGATAATTCTACTAGGTGATTAATATTGTTAAGAGTGATAATCTTGTAGACCTATTAAATCACAGTGGATTAACAAACTACATAATCCATTCAGAGTTTGTGGCAATGATAAAAGTGTTAAGTTGGTCTAATTTACAAATCATGGTATGTAAATGAGATTTAATCAAAACAGTAGCAAACTTTATCATGTTCTATCTAATTAGTATTTTTGGTTTTGGGTCAGTATGAATGTCAGGTGAAATTTCCAAGGTAGGTAGAAATCAGAGCTGTCGTAAAATATTATGATACAGAGTGCTCTTAAACACATATGTACAAATTGTTCAGCTAGTTGCAAATTTTGGGTTTGGAAATGTTTTGGTTTAGTTGCCATTTGTCAAATCAAAGTTTTGAGAGTAAAAACTTTAAACTTTTATTGCTGAAATTGCACTGTATTTTTTTTTGTCTGTAGTACCCGAAGTAGAGAGATGTGATTAATAAGATTATGAGACTGTCAATACTCATTTTTAAAAGTGCTTCTGATTGGTATCTTGAAATGTCACCAGTGCGTGACCTTGGTATAAATCCCATTAGATTACAATGGAGACAGACAAAAAAAAATAAAATAAAGAAGCAAAACTTTAATCTAATTTAAATTAGATTGGTGCTAAATATGCAACTGAAGGTTATGGTATTTTCAAACAAAAATAGTCCAGACCCTAAATATGATAGCTTTTTGGCATAGAGCTTGATTGTCAGTTACTATTTGCATTTGTTTTTCTTCCTCAGGATAGAAACAGTTTTTGAATCCTTAACCAGATGGCAAATAGAATTTTGACTTGAATACAAGAAGTACTTTTATTACCTCTAATTGAAGATTTGTAAAACTCACAGAAGAACTCTTTCCAGATAAAATCCTTTCATTTTTCACCATTTTACTGATAAATCCTGACTATGTTAATTCCAAGACTAATAAAATCTGACTAGTACTTTTTAGTATTCTGGTGTATGTATGGTATATATTGGTATTGGTTAGTATTGGTTACTATTTATTTATTATTCATGTCAATATAGTGTTATATATTGTAAGATATGTCATAATAATACAATAATAGATATTCCAATCAGTTTGATCAACTCACTTACTAATAAATTATTAATGACTAAAACTCATTAAATGTGTTATAAACAGTTCTTTAATATACCGGTACTATAAAACTGGTGGTGTACTTAATGTACCCATTGCTGGTATGTAGATTTGTCAGTGGTACTATACAGTGGTATACGTAATGCATCATTATATAGATTTGTGGCAAAACTTTTTTTTCCCCTTTTATTTTTGTGAAATGTAATATCAGCTTTAAAGGGGAAGTCTGTGTGAATTTTTCTGACTTATAAGTTTTTTTTTTACTTTAAACATTAACCCAAGTAAGAAGAAGAGATAGATTTGACATCTGTCTGATTCTAGAGAGCTCTGGCTATGGAATCAGAAACTGTTAACTAATTGCCTACAAAACGGCAATCCAACTGTCCTGAAAAACAAACAAACTGTCCTGAACAAAAGTTTAGTCTAATTCTAATTGGAACTAGATCTCTTTTAATTAAACTTATTTTTTTTTTTGTATCAAAGGTTTTGTTTGGTATATTATATGAAAGTTTATCATACTTACTAGATTTGAAGTATTTGCTTTAAGAGGGTAATCATGAACAGGTAAAATATAAGGTAAATGTACATGTTGAATTGCTTTTGGTACATTTTGTTTTTCTAATTTGTGCATAGATCTTTCTGTTTTCATTCTATGCCTGAAAAATAATAAAAATCAATATCCTATAGGAATGATTTGGTTAATGGAGAAGGAAACATCAAGTAGTGTACAATCAAGTAAATTTTACAATCTGTTTTTTCTTCACAATTTGGGCCAAAATATCGCTTTTTACAGGAGTTAAGTTGAATCCACTTTTTGGTTTGCTAATTTTTGAGAATTTTCACCATGACAAAAGCCAAATTTGGCATAACCTTTGGAATCTTTACAAAACTAAACCATTAATAATTCTATCCAGACATTAGCAGATATTATATAATTTCCCTTTGCCGTACACAGATATAGTTTTCTGTCCTTCATCAATTTCATATTGTATCATTTATAATCCTTCAGTTAATAACAATCATTTATGTATCATTTATGTAAGTATGTGAATCAAGTGATTGTGGTCTAGGTGCATGAGTCACCATATCCTATCTTCAACTATCTACAAATGACAATATTGTGGTGATGTCCACATCATTCTATGTTTAAAAATATTAAAATATAACACTTAACATAACAGAT